GCCGGCCGGGCTGGCGCGGGTGTCCCGACGCCTGCTTCCCCCGCGCGCCCCGATCTTGCGGTCCAGCAGCGCCCACTACCTGGTTTCCGCTGCCTCCCGCGGACCCTGGCCCCAACCCGGGTTTGTTTCCACTGCTGAGGTGAAGCGTACGGAATAGCGACTGTGGGACCTGGGCTCTGGGACCCGGTCGTGCTCACCTTTCCGCTCAGGTGGGCGCCCACGGGCAGCAGGTGTCCCTGACAGTATTTCTGCCAACCGCTCGCCTTTGCTGTCCTTAGACAACAGGGCTCTTTGAATGCTTTTCAGAAGCAAATCAACTCATTTTGCGCTGCAATGTTTTGGGTTTTTGTTTAAGCATCTGGTCATTTCCTAAACTAGTCGTAATCTTCCCTGTGACCGACTCGGTTCAGGATTCAGAGGATATCTTTTCAATAAGGAAGAGACTTTTGCCTGGTCATGGGGAATGTCTCTGATTTTTAGTAACTGAGCACTTACTCCTTTTTGCACCAGCCTTTGAAGCGTTTGGACGAGGCAGTGCAATATATTTTCGGAAAATGCATTACATCTTTACTGTTCTTGAAACACCAACATAATTTGAGCTTTTCTTGATGCTATCCCGGCAACACTAGGAAGGTTCTCGGGAAATAGCCGGGATCACTGAGCTGTTTAAGTCCTCAGGCCATATTTTATGTCATTTTTCTACCTCCAGTTTTGTGGGTGTCACTTATCAATTGCTCCGTACCCTCTTCTGGTTATAATGTAATAGTGTGTATCTGTTGGGAGTTTTGAAGTTTGACGGTTGAATTTGATAATGCTGTGTTTAAAAATAAAAGAAAAATAAGAGAGAAACGTGACTTTTTACCTTTCTATAACTTAAAATTTTCATTTTACAAAATGCCCACTTTAGAAAGCACAGCTAAGCAAAGGAAAGACAGTTAAAAGCATCTGGTATCCTATTACTTGTAGATAACTGTTGTTACTAGTTTGGAATATAGTCAATTTTTAATACATATTTTGTAAAAACAGAACCAGTATATACTGCTTGGTAGCCACTTTGTGCGGCAACCTATAATCTTACCTGTCTTCCCTTCTCAGTAACTTAGTTCTGTGTACATTCACAATGGCCACAGAATATCCATGATCTAGTATCTGAGAAGAGTAGGAATGCTAGTGCATAAACCTTGTGCAGTCTATTTTAGCATAGTGCTGTTCACTAACCTCTTAATTTTTGGCCAAGGTGCACAGGTGAGATTGTGTTACTTGTATAAATGTAATGATTTAATATCAAGTCCCCTGAAAGAGGTGGCAGTTTATCATGCCGTAGCTAATTGAAAAGTTGGAGCAAATCATTGGTAAAATTTCCAATGCTTCATTCTTTGTCTCTAGGTCTCCCTGGTCCCCATCTTTCTCCTTCTTTCTCTCCTCCAAGAATGAAACATGACTGAAGACTCTCAGAGAAACTTTCGTTCAGTATATTATGAGAAAGTGGGATTTCGTGGAGTTGAAGAAAAGAAGTCACTGGAAATCCTTCTGAAAGATGACCGTTTGGGTGAGTTTTACGTGTTTCATTAAGCTTATTTGTTCAGTTGGATGTGGTGGTGCACACCTGTTATCCCAGCCACTTGGGAGGCTGAGGCAGGAGGATTACAAGTTTAAGCCCAGCCTTGGCAACTTCGCAATTTAGTGAGACCCTGTCTCAAAATAAAAAAATAAGAAGAGCTGGGATGTTAGCTCAGTGTGAAGGCCCTGGCTTCATTTTCCAGTACCACACACATACATGTACACAAAAGCTTATTGGTTCTCAGTCTTCTCAATTATTTGAAATAAATATTAGCTTCAGAGACATCTAGAGGATATTTGTTACTTGTTACATATTTTTCAGTGTTATGATGATATCAGAATGGTATGTTTTGAGAAAACTTCCAGAATTTTTGAATTTTTATTTCACTGACAAGTTTTTGCAAGAACTTTTAAACAGCAACATTTGTCTTTATTAATCCTTTATACTTCCTTTCTTCAGTTTGCAGATGTCTTCATAGCTTCTAAGTAAACTTGCAACAACTTCAGTCATGATTTTCCATTGTGGAAATACTAGGATTGCATTATAATATTGATGTTTAGTGATGATAAAGTTGGCCATTAGCCAAAGTGAAATAAGTTTAACCCTAGTTAAAAATGTTTTATTTGCATAGAATGCTATTTATTTGCTTGTTTTGTTTTTATTTGTGCTGGGATCAAACCCAGGGCCTTACATTTGTTAGGCAAGTGCCCTGCACCCTGCCCAGCACAGAGTGCTTTTAAATTGCAGAAATATTTCACACCTGACTTTTGGTCTCATTGTGGAGTCCATGTTTCAAGTACATGTAGCATTACAACACTTCCTTGATAGGAAGAATTGAGGGCCAAGACTGTTATTTTTTGGGATCTGAGGACTGATGATACTCCTTATCAGCTGTGTTAACTTGGTGAATCACTAACTGCTTTGAGCTTCTGTTCTGTATCTTCATAACAACAACTCCCCAAGTAGGCTTGTAATGTGGGTGAAATGAGATGAGTTAATTATTAACTACCACTAATATTATAAGGAAGGTCATAATATATGAAAAATGCATCTCTTATATTATAAAATGCTAACTGTTTTAAATAGCTAAGTTGATAGAAGACCTGGGCAGGAAATCAGACCAATATTGCCTTTCCTAAATTTGCCGACTGTATGGTAGACTTCCTGAAGAAATATCTCACCTATCCTTTCAATTAGAAAAAAATGAAATGCACTTATGCAAACTGTAATTAGCATGAAAAGCTTTAACTGATTGCTTTTTTCTTCCTCTAGATATTGAGAAACTTTGTACTTTTAGCCAGAGGTTCCCTCTCCCATCCATGTACCGTGCATTGGTATGGAAGGTGCTTCTAGGTATGAGCCCCTGAAGTCGGGGAATTTGTTTTCGAAAGTATTGAATAATGGGCTCCTTTGTCACAGTCAGAAAGGGGGGATGTGGTTAGGTCCTTTACTGAGTCTTGGGTCTTCCTTGGGTCCTCACTGTGAAAGCTGTTAGGAAGGTGACTTAAGCAGAAATACATTAAATATTACTCTAGGAGCATCAGTCTGTTAATGATGGAAAAGGAAGTCTTGTACATTCCCAAGAAGAGATGTGGCAGAACTTTGGTCTGGGAGAAAGGAGATCTGGTCTGCCCTTTGCAGTGAGCCAGGTCATCTGGAGAAGACCCCCCCTCTGGGGCTCATCTTTCGCATCTGTGCAGTGAGAATATTGAGCTCAGTTACTTAGCTTTAAATTTGTTATATTTTGCGATTCTCAGAAGTGCCACTTCATGTGTGCTATCAGACTCAAAAAGGAATCACAGTTTTCTTTCCCTAAAAGTATAAGTAATGAGTTCTAGTGATAAGAAGAAAATGGACTGTGCTTAGTGTTTATGGAAGAAAGCCTCCAGCACAGAAGCCAACATCAGCTCTTTTGAGCCCAAGATGTTTTTCCCTGTCATTGTTGAGCCTCCTAAAGCATATAATACCCATCTGTTACCACCCTCCATTTCTTTCTTAAAATTTGTTTGCTATAACTGTCAGACAGTGGGATAGAGCTTTATGTGGAATACAAACTGGTACTGCTATTTAATGGGCCTCCCTAGATGCCACTCACCAAGCTGAGTGGATTCCATCAATGACATGGTGCAGTCCTAGAATTCTTCTGAGCCAGATCATGACAGCCCAGTTTTAGAGATGGGGAAGAAGACAGGGAGGCCACATACTGGCCTGTGAGGAAGGCCTTACAGTCCGCAAGTGACAGTACTAGGATTTAAGTTCTTTTGTAGAACTCACGTGAAGGAAGAATAGCTATGGACCCTGTTTTCTTTCCCAAATGTGTATTTTCAGGACTTGAGAGCCCTGCAGTCCTAAGTGTGGCTACATAGTGTGGAGGTGCCGAGGGACTGTGAGCCATTTTAGAAAGCCCTGCTGAATGCCTCTTTGTTGAGCATCTCAACAGCCTTGGGTGCTTCTGTCTGGTAGATCATTCTACAGTTATAGTCTACAGAAATGGTAGCAACTACGGATTTTAGTTTTTCCCAGAGCAGTTTTTTCCCCTAAATCTGAATATCTCCATTGGTCATGAAGATACGTGCCTTCCCGGGTACGATGAGATAGTCGTGTTGACAGCATCCCTTTCAGTCCTGGAGGTACTGTGTCTTAGTAACTGCCCCGGGTCAGGGGGATACACCGCTGTGCTTTGCCACATTTCCTGAGTGCCGAGTCCTGTCTGGCTTGTGCATCTTCTCTGATTCTCTTGTCTTTATCATGTAAACAATCATTATTTTTTTGGGTAAAGACACCAAAAATTCAGAGCTTTTACAATATGAAGGACTCTTCCTAGCAGAGACTTTTTTTTGAGGGTGTACTTTTCTTGTTTGATTGCTCAGGGATGTTTGGATGCCAGATTCCTGCTGACATTTTAAGTAAATATCAGAAAGAGACTTTTTAGGACCAACCCTGACAAACCAGTTTAAGGTTTAACTTGGGAGGCATGGTGCTGCTAGTAGTAGTGTCATCAAGGTGCGGCTGTTTCATCTGCATTAGCCAAGGTGTGCAGGACAGTAGTATATTCTCTTAGCTTCTCTGAAAGCCTAGCACAGGGCCCCCCTAGCTCTGCTGAGTAAAGGTTTGTGTCAGGAAAGGGAACATTTAAACAAGTTGGTTAGTTGGATACTTTCGAGCTCATCTACCTTTTGTTTCCCAGAATACTGGAACTGTGGTGTTTTGCACTAAAGAGTGAGCCGGAGTCAGATGTACTTCTAGCTCGCACTGTTCCTAACTTAGCGTGGCCAGGTACTGTTTGAGCGCTTTCTGTATATTGATTTATTCATCCTAATACCTGCCTTAGGTTAGGTGTTATAATTCCTATTCTTCAGATGGGGAAGCTAAGCCATAGGGAGAGAGAAGAAATTGTCAAAGGGTTCCCAGTCAGTTAATTGTAGAGCTAGAGATCAAATCCAGAAACTTTGAATCCAGAGCCCATGCTTCTGTGTTACCTTGAGTGAGGCTGGAATAATAAACAGCTGTTTTGCCTCATTGCAAAACTGAGAGCTTTGGAAATTCATCACCACCATTCCTCAAATCTGTTTGTCCATGATTTCCTTTTCTTATGAAGATGCCAGGGGATTGGCCTCTTCAGAGAGCATCAGTGAAATGCTTGTCTGTCCCATCTCCTGCCTCTGCTAAATTAGGAAACAAGAGCCCAGAGGGACAGGCATATTTGTGAGAGTCCTGGGCTTAGCAGACCTGAGATGAGAGCCTGGAGTTACTGCAGGCACATCCAGTGGTCTTCCCACTGTGTTTTTACCATGATACTTGCTTGCAAAAGAGATGTGGCTCTCATGCCATAGCCTAAAGAGCAGATACCATGTTTAAATGGAGTAAGGAGCATAAACTGCCTTAGAAATGCAGTGTAAGATGACCTCATCAGTGAAGACCAGGGACTTCTGTGGCCCTGAAGAGAGGATTCTTCGTGAACAAGTTTTGACTGCTGTGGGGAAGGAGGACTGGACAGGCTGTTGGTTCTGAGATGTAGGAGGCCACATGCCAAAATTGAAGAGAAGACTCTGGGGGCACAAGGTGGCACCATCTTGACAGCTATCCTGTGGTTATTATCATCTTGAAATTAAGTGACATGCTTATTTCGAGGCTTTCACTATGCCATTTAATTTCTCCTTAATATCAGTGATTAAATATCATTCTGATACTGATAATATACAACACCTAAGATTGTTACAGTGAGAGTTGCTAAAAGAGAATATGTGGTATTAACTGTATGTATGAAGTCTGGTCTAATCGTGAGGCTGGATCTCATAGGGTTCTTTTTAGAAGAGGTGTGGTTTGGACTGGTGTCTCAGTATTTTGCTTTTTGTTCTGGTCTTCTTAGGGATCCTGCCTCCCCACCATGAGTCTCATGGCCATGTGATGATGTATCGCAAGGATCAGTACTGTGATGTCCTTCATGCCCTGAAAGTGATTCGCTTCGTCAGTGATGCCACCCCTCAGGTAGACGTCTATCTTCGCATGTATCAGCTGGAGTCCGGGAAGTTGCCTCGAAGTCCCTCCTTTCCACTGGTTAGTAAAAATCTTGCTTGACATTTAATTTCACTCTTTTTTCCCTGCATTACTAGGAATCAAAATAATTTTGCCTTGTGCTACATCCCCAGCCCTTTGTTAATTTTTAGACAGCGTCTTATTAAGTTGCTAAGTTGCCCTTGCTGGGCTCAAACTTAGGATCTTCCACCTCAGCCTCCCAGCGTGTTAACTCTTAACCATCCTGTTTGTTCAACCTTTGACTGCATCATATTTTGCCTTAAAACTTTCAGTGGCTCTCAATGTCAGTAAAACGAAAGCAACCTGTCTTTGCCTGGTGTTCATGGCCCGGTACATTCTGACCTAATATGCCTTATTAAAAAAAAAAACACATTTTATTTCTAAATATTATAGTCATGCATTGCTTTCTGACGGGGATACATTCTGAGAAATGTATCCTTAGACAATTTCATCATTGTGCAAACATTGTAGAACATACTGACTTGAGCTAGAGAGCTGCAGTATTACTGGGAAATTCAGGCTTATTGGACCATCATCATATTTTGGGCCCCTTGTCATCTAAAAAATTGTTATACAGCACATGATGATAATTTTAAAGGTACAGAAAAGTTACAGGAATTCTTCCAAGAATTCCTATACACCCTTTAGATTCCTTAGCTATTAACATTTATGACATTTGCTTTGGTATTTTCCTTATAAATGTACACATACTTCCTTTTTCAAACCTTTTGTGAATGAGACACAGACATGGTGTCCTGTGTCCTCAGATTCCTTCACTTCTAAAGGTGACACCCTCAGCAGTACAGTCATCAAAACCAAGAAGCCCAAGTTGCTGCAGTATTAACATCTCACCTGTAGACTCCATTCACATTTGACCAGTTGTCCCTGTAGTGCCCTTTTCACAAATAAACAATAAAAGTTCTGGTATTGAATTATAGATTGCATGGAGTTGTTATATTGCTTTAGTCACCTCTGATTTGGGTCAGTTGCCTTGTTTTTTTCTCCCTACCTGTCATACCCTTGACATTTTCGAGGGGTGTAGGTAAGTTATTTTGCAATAGCCCCTTGCTGTAAGTCTGGCTGGTGCTCCCTCCCGATTTTAGCCAGGTTATGTGCTTTCAGCAGGGACAGTACCTGGGCACTGATAGCCAGAGGCACCCCTTGTGGATTGGTCCTGTGAAAGGTTCACTTGTGCCTGCTGGGTTTTCCCCTGGAGATGTTTTTCCCCTTACTATGTCCCTTTGTGGAGAGACACTTTAAAACTGCCGTGTAGTTATCCTAGCCCTTATTAAACTTTTATCCATGAGTTATAACATCTACTGATGCTTTTTTAAAGAACTTTAAATAATTTTAGGTGTTGAAAAAAATAGTACAGCATCAGCATGCTTAACTTCCACCTCTTACATAACCACAGTCTAATGATCAAAACCAGAAAATTGGCTTTGATACAACACTCAGAGCTAGGCTATAGACCATACTGAGGCTTTGCTGATTGTTCCGCTGATATCCCGCTTCTGATCCAGGATCCAGTCCCTGACCACACCTTACCTTAAGAAACCGTATCTTAGTCTGCCTTAATCCAGAATAGCTCCTCAGTCTTTCCTGTTTTTTCATGACTGGGACACTTTTGCAGAGTGCTAGCCAGTGGAGCGTCTCCTCGTGATTAGAATCTGGCTGTGTGTACTACTGGCAAGAATACCACAGAGGTCTGACTCCCACTCCAGTTGCTGTAGCTTTGATCAGTTAATCAAAGTGGTATTGCAAGGTTTCTCCACTGTAAAGTTACTATTTTCCTGTGTAATTAATAAGTAACTCGGGGTGAGGTACTTTGAGACTTGTAAAAATCCACCCAGTCAACATTCTTGCCCAAAACAGTTTTTACCATGCTGGCTGCCAAATGGTGATTTTCTTTTTCATTCCTTCCACATTTAGTTGGTTTTCTAACAGAGAGTTTTCCCTTCTTTTGTTTATTGATACCAGTAAGAACTTACGGAGTCCTTTTTTATCCAGTGGCCTGTAATCCATGACTGCTGTTACTTTCGGCGCTCAGATTGTCCCACACTTGGCCAGTGGCAGCCCCTTCCAGCTGTACTTTGCCTTTTTGATAAGTTCCCATCAGTTGGAGTATTTCCTGCCTTTCTGCCACAAGATACTCCAGGCTCATTTTATTCTTTCTGTGCTGCAGCTGTGGAATCAGCCTTTTCTTTTTGGTATTTAGAAACCAAAAATAAGATGCATGTATGCTTATTATTCTAAGCTGTCACTGTTTCTAGACTCTCGGTAGACAGACAGGAAGCACATGTATGTACACACACATACCTCTATGTATCTGTATACATGTGTATAGAGGGTTTTTGTTTTGTGTTGTTTTGGCACTGGGGATGGAACCTGGCCTTGAACTTGCCAGGCAAGTGCTCTGGCACTGAGCTATGCTCATAGCACCTATATGAGGTCTGGTCAAAAAACACCGTGAATATTTAAATTTACAGTAAAAGACACATTTCCATTAATACCCCTCCCCAAATACTCCGCCTGGCTTCACACACATATCCCTTGCCACTTTCTGCATTGTCATGGCTGTTTCGACGTTCTGAACCGATTCCAAACACTTACCTTCCATGGTTATTTTGAGGAAGAGCCAGAAGCCTCATGGCACAGATCTGGTGCATAAGGTGGAAGAGGACACAGTGCAGTGTTTTTACCAGCCTGTCTTTCCATTGGATAGCACTCGGCAGCAGCACTCACTGTATTTCTGGTGACACCTCATTAAGACACTCAGGAAAGAGGACTTCCAGAACTGCTTCACAGAGTGGTAAAAATGATGGGATGAGTGTTTAAAGCAAACGAGGGTATACTGAGGGGGATTAATGGCAGTGTCCCTTACTGTAATAATTTTAAAAAATAAACATTTACCATATCTTTATGTCACACCTTGTATGTTATATATACATGAATGTATATAATCATATACCTACATACATCATACCTGTATAAAAATTTAAAACTTTGAGTTCTTACTGATGTCTTCAATTTCAGTCTAGTATCACAAACTCATTCCACCCTTTACCCTTTCCGTATTTGCAACTGCCTTTGACAGTACAGATGTGAAAAGGCTCTGACACATTTGCTTCTCTGCTTCCTTGCTTGTTTCCTATATGTAACCAGCAGCACCAGATGCAGCTGCAGATGCCTTATGTTCCCTTGGCCCTGGACCTGAGGGTCAGGGTGGTCCCTGGCTACTTCTGTACCCTTCAGCCCTGACCCTCATCAGCCTCAGCCTCTTCCTTGGCCTTGCCCACCTTCTCTGCTGCAGTCCCCAGCTCCAGGCTGCTTTGTGAACTTCATCTCCAGCAAACCCCTTACTTTAGTTACTTGGGCTACTTACTGTTAGGGAGGGGAGGAAGAAGTGGGCAGGGAGAGGAATAATTATAGATTGCAAGATTTTGCCTATTTTATGGCAGTTCTCGCTAGGCATTTTAATGAAGGTTTGTTTGGCTAAAACACAGTGAATGGTTCAAACAGGTCATTGCAAGTTTTGCTGATCCACAAAGTGGATTTATTGGTAGATTAGACTGCAATCTGTAATAAAAATATTTATTTTTATTTTTTGAATTTAATGATATGATACCCATGGGCCAATCTTAGAGCTAACAAAGGTAATCTCCTTTCATTGAAAAATTTTTAAGAGAGAAATTTCCTTAAAAATAATTGGAACATCACTAGAACAGGCACTATGAAGTGGCTAGTATGGCATGAGTCTTTCAGTTACATATTAAATTAGGATAATCTGTTAGCTCCAGAAGTTTAAATGGTCCTACTCAGTTTGTCCTGCTCCCAGCCGCGCTCAGGCACCCTTGCTATTCAGGTGTACTGGGGGCCCTGTTGCCCCAGTCGCCAAGCCCTACTCATTCTTTATCCATTAATAAGAATGTGTGGCAGTGCTCAGGCAGAAATGGAGCACCGAAGGACGGTGGCCCTCTTCCCTGAAGAGGAGAGCTGGGGACCTTAGAGGGCGTCTAGCGTCAGACCCAGGATTTCATGGGAGTCTAAGAATGGAGATTTCTCTTCCCTTCTCTGGCACATCGATGCTTAGAAGAATTTTCTATAATGCTATTATTCTCAATAATTTATAGATTACTAACAATTTGAAACAATACTAAAGATGAGATACTTTTATTATAATTGGATTTTGGAAGTAACTTGGAATTTTTTAGGGAAGAAGAAGGATGCTTCTTAGTTTCATTTTAACATTAAAATCCATCAGCTATGAAATCCTAGATGAAAATGTGAAGTTTTTCAGTATGATTACAGTGTTGGAAAACAAAATAGTTTTCCAGACAAAGTTCCCAAGTGTTTATGATTATTTTTTTGCAATGCCTAACCCAGGGCCTTTGCACGTGTAATGCAAGTGCTCTAATACTGGGCCAAAATCTCAGCCCAAGCTGCAGTTTTTATAGGGTTTCTCTGTTGAAATTTACTTGAGGCTTTACTTCCATGTTCTGATTATTATTATAGTATTGATGCTCATTCTCTTGATTCCTAAAGTTCTGGTTCTAGAGACTTAAATTTAGGTGCTTAAAGATAGGACGAAATTCTAAAAGTATGCATGAATGCTTTGAAATAAAGCAAATGCCCTAGAAGTCCTTCAGTATTTGCAAACTGCTCTGTTGACAAGCGTCTCCAAATATCTGCTGTTTGTCACATACTTTTGGAAGAAATCCTGGTTCATGATTTCTTTGAGTGATTTTAGGTGGACACTTGCTCACAACATGTGTTGACTTTGTGATGAGCTTAATATTAGAAGGTGGAGGCTCCCTAAAAAGGAATCCTTCGTAAATAGCACCAACCCAGATGTATTTCTATAGTCCCTTCTCTTTCTCCCTCTGCACTTCTCTTTACTACTTTTTGATCAGACTTTGTTTTATTGCAGCTTTTTCAAAAAATGCAGCCTTTTCATTTTTATTACAGAACTGTGTCTTCCTCTCTTCTGCTTCCTCTTGAGATGTTTTATGTATCTTTCAGGAAGCAGAAGATGAAGTATTTCTTGCCATTGCTAAAGCCATGGAAGAGATGGTGGAAGATAGTGTGGACTGCTACTGGATCATCCGATGCTTCGTGAACCAGTTGAATACCAAGTACCGGGATTCTTTGCCACAGCTGGTGAGGGCTGTTTTTGGCTAATTGTTGGGTGAGCAGTGGATTAAGGATCATCAGAGAGAACCTAACTTCCGGGTGCTGCTGTAATTCTGAGTGGATCCTCTGCAGTGGGGCTCAGTAAATGCATTCTATATAAAGCCAGAGAGTAAACTTCTTCAGTGTAGCGGCCATGGATCTACCTCTGTCACAATCACTCAGCTCTGCTGCTGGAGCCCAAGAGCAACCATAGACATGACACACACTAAAAAGTGCTAGGCCTGGAATGCACCACTGCAGGCTACATTTAGCCAGTGCTTGGTCTATAGTATTCACTATGCTGGTCCAGAATCCACCAATTTTATCTAGAATGACCCTTCTACATGTATTAGGGTTTAAGTTTGCTGGTGTGTACAATCTTGGGAGACCCAAATAACAGAAACTTGTAACCGGAAGTCCAGAGGTGAAGCAGACCACAGGTGGTGCTACAGCACCACAGTATGGACTCCTGCCATTTTGCTCCAGCATTAGATGCAGTCCTTCCATTCCTATCAGTCCAGAAGCCATGAATGACATCCGTGTTCTGGGCAGAAAGGAAGGGGAGGGCAAAGATAAGTGTGAGGGAGGAAAAGGGAGAAGCCAGTCAGGTCACAAGCAGGCTTTCCTGCTGTGTGTATGCAGATGCTCCTCAGTGTATGGCGAGGCTACATCCCAGTAAGCCATGACAAGGTGAAGATGTAGTTCACTGCATCTTCTAAACATCAGAGTTTAGAGCCACAGTGTGCCTGGATGGGCAAAAGTAAGACCGTGCACCAGCAACCTGAGCAAAGACCCAGATTCAGAATTCCACCTGCACTTTCTCCTGAATGTGTAACACTTTCAACATCATTGTCAAATTGAAAAATCTACAATCTAATTGTCTTAAGTCGGGGCCATCTGTATCAGTGGCCAGGACTGTGTCATTTGGCTTTCTTCTCTGCAGCAGACGCTGGGAAACATGGTTTTAAAAAGCCTGGTGCATGATAAATCTCCCAGGAGAGCTGCAATTCTCTTAGTGAGGAATGTGCCAGGGTGGGGTCCTCTCTGGTGCCAAACCCTGGCTTAGGTCCCAAGAACTGAGAGTCTTGATTTGTGGCATAAGCCAGTCTTGCTTGGTGATTCTCTTCTTTCTAGTTTTTTCTCTCTATTATATCATTTATAAAAATGAATTTTTCCTGAATCATTGAGTTTATTTGAAAACTCTTCTGAAAGTGGAAATTGTGACTCAAGGTGCCGGAAAGGCAAGGGGCCGTGAAGAAGGCAGATGAGCTGCAAAGACCATGGTGCAGCTGTGTCCCCTACTTAACTGAAGGGGCAGGAGGCAGGACCCTCCAGCTTCAGTTCTTATGAGAGCAGTTTTTGCATATTTTAATTACATAAAATTTGATTTTAGGATTTTGAGATTTGATCCACTTACTTGATTTCAATAAAAATGCTTTAAGCATGGAATTGGAGCCTGAGTAAGCATGATGTTTGTTGTCTAAATCAGGAGGTCTTTTTTTGTTTGGTACTGGGGATTGAACTCGGGTCCTTGCGCTTGCAAGGCAGGCCACTGAACCACTGAGCTAAATCCCTGGCCCTAAATCAGGAGGTCTTATTCATACTGTGGTTTAATTAGCTTTCTTGTTTAATTTTGAAGTTGGCATTTTGATTAGTTATGCTATATCTAAAAATATTTGGGGGGAAACCTCAGTAATAAATGAGTAGATTCTCAGAAGAAATTAAACCACCTGGATGAGTCCATGTTACCCTAGATCTGGGCCAATACCCCACTTCCTTCCTGAGCAGTGACATTGTCACCAGCCTGGCATGCCTCTGCTAGACCCTTGCCTGCTTGTGGATTTATCAAGTGACTTCTTAAAAACATGTGAGCAGCTTCTCATTGTACATGTGACCTTATAGTTCTGTTTTTAACTTGGAGAACTTTGCAAGTTTGTACAGAATCATCACTACTTTTCAGTTCCTGATTTCCCACTAGTATACCTGGGAGCTTTTGAAAATTCCCAGACTTTTCCTCCTCTACTGGGCCAATTAAATCAGAATCTCTCGGGGGGGCCTTGGAATTCTAATTTTTTAAAGATTCCAGGCAATTCTGAGGTGTGACTAGGGTTGAGAGCCACTCATTTAGAACTACCTTTTTTTCTAATTTACTTATAGCACTTCCTGTTATGAATCTGCCCATGCTAACAGCCACACAGACAGTAAACCTGCCCTTGTACATGGTTACCATGTGCACACACACCCTCTAGGCTGCTACCTAGAAGGGAGTGTGTGAGTGAAGGAGAGAACACTAAAATTCTGTGTCTTATTTATTTATTTATTTTTTGATACCGGAAATTGAACTCGGGCCCTTGCATTTGCAAGAGAGGTGGCAGAACCACTGAGCCAAATCCTCGGCCCTCTGTGTCTTTCTTAATGGCCATATCATTCTATGCTCTCCAAAACAGATTATGAGGTTTTCTTTTTTCCATTTGATGCTAATACCTGACAGTTCCAATCTCATAAATCTTTGTCCATCTGATAGTGAAGATGTTGTTTTAATTTCTATATCTGCAGTTTCTAGTGAAGATTTCTGTCACTTTCTTGGCTTTTTTCCTTTATAAATGTTACCCATAGACTCTGGATGGTTATGCTGTATTTATACACATTTTGCAAATACTTTCTCACAGTTTGTCATACAAAGATCTTAAGTTTTGATACACTAGGATTTGTCCGTATTTTTCTTTTACTTCTATAGCTTATTAAGCCCTTTCCAGACCCCACATTAAAAAATGTGTTTTCTCTTAGCGTTCTTAACTCCTTGAAGGTTTTACAGTTAGCCTATAATTTGAAAGGGATTTCTCTTTGTGGTTGGTACCAGACAGAGAGTGGAATTCACTCCTATACTTCACTGGAATGTCACAACTCCTACCAGCTCACCACTAACCTGTCTTCCTTTTCCTGCACCTGGCAGGGTTAACTTGGCTTTATTAATGAACTGTGTCATTTAAGCATATTATTTCTGTGTTTACCGGTGAGGCTACTAAAGCACAGAGAATTTGAGTCACTTGCCCAGGGCCACACAGTAATCAGTAGAACTACCACTTACACTCTCAGTGCATTCTGTTTTCACAGATTCAAAATGGCACCTGATTCATTGGCCTTTTTTCATCACCATCTCTTTTTGGCTCATTCTTCCTTCTTTTTCCCATCCACTTCTTTGGTCTTACCCTTTCTCTTTCCCTTTGCTTGCCATCCATCCATCCTGTTAGTCTAGTCTAGTGTAGTCTAATTTACCTAAAATTGACTGCTCCAGACCAGCCAGTACCGTCACAGGCTTTTCTCAGCTCCTCAGAGTGACTGAATTATGCTTCGGACTTTCTGAGGCTGCTGAATGCGGTTTGTGCAGTAAGCACCAGGGTGACTGACTGTTTTGCCTGGGGTTGGCCTGGATGGAAGAGGAAGTGTGTGTCCAGGGGAAACCCAGAAGCTGGGACTGACCTGGAAACTGCTGGGTCAAAGTGACTTGGATGAGCCTGATGTTTTGTTTTCTAGTGTTTCCTTGTATGCAGCACGCACATTTTTTTCCATCATAGGCTGTTACAGCAGGTGACATCATGTCACAGGAAACCAGTGACCTCTCTTCCTGTTTAATCTCTAGCCAAAGGCTTTGGAGCAATACTTGAATCTGGAAGATAGCAGACTGCTGAGTCATCTGAAGTCCTGCTCTGCGGTGTCCAGGCTGCCCTACGATCTCTGGTTCAAGAGGTGCTTTGCAGGATGCCTGCCTGAATCCAGTTTACAGAGGCAAGTGTTTCCTTCTGAGACACACTGGGGGCCTGGAGTCAGAGAAGAATCCTGGCCTTTCCTGTGATTGACCCTGAACATACAAATTTGTTTAGCACAGTTCGAAGCTAAATTCTCTAGCAGCTACCATAAGAGAATATGATTCTAATCATTATTGAATGAATATGCACTTAGATTGAGCACCTTCTGTGTATTAGGTGCTAAATAACAGTCACATCTGAAATGGTCCAGGAGCTTATATAAGCGGGAGCTCCTCTTTTCTAGAATTGTGGTAGGTCCTGATCTAATAGAAATCTTGGTATTTCTGTTTCTTCATAGCACCTTTAAAAAGGAGCTAAAGGTACTCAAAGATCTGAGACTGTTCCAGGCGCCTGTGGTGTGCATTGGAATTGGCATTTGGTAGATTCTGAGGAGAGCATAGAGTTTGTGTGTGGTGTCAGGGATAGAACCCAGGGTCTTGCACGTGCTAGGCAAACGCACTGTTGCAGCCACATCCTGAGTCTCAAGCAGTCGTTTTCAGTGAACTTTTTCTTTCGAATGCTGATTCTAGCTGGAGTAGATTTCAAATGGCTCACCTGTTTTGTTTCTAATAATTATTTCATAGTCATTCCCTGAAGCTTTTAAAATAGGAATAATTTGGTCTTATTTTCTGTATTGAAAACAATTTGTTTATAGGTAAACATGGATTTCAAAACTATGTAAATTTTGATTCTATCTCTGTTTTTGTAGGGTTTGGGATAAAGTTGTAAGTGGTTCCTGTAAGATCCTAGTTTTTGTAGCTGTGGAAATTTTATTAACCTTTAAAATAAAAGTAATGGCACTGAACAGTGCAGAGAAGATAACAAAGTTCCTGGAAAATGTAAGTGTGCATTATTTGATTTGATTTTGAATTTAGAAATGAAGTCAGTCTAGCAAGCCAGATTTTCCTACTGCATTAAATTATTGCAGAGAAATAATACCCTGTATGTGTACTTCAGAAAAACCACTTCTCTCCCTGAAACATGGTGCCATGCAGTTGGCCTGGTTTTTCTTTGTATCCTCCTCTCTTCAAGGGTCACTGGTCTGAGCAGTGAGACCATTGCTGAGCCTACCCCTGGGGACTGGGGCCTTGTCCCCTGTGACGGCCAACATGTATGTCAGGGAGAGGAAGAGGCGAGATCCCGCTGTAATTTTCATCAGTGGAAAAAGGACTGTGCGATTTTGGGGAACTTGTAGCTCCTTGATTTCTCTTACTATTGCTGATGGAATCCCAGTTGAGTTTGTAAATGTCCTAAGTATTATCTTAGTGCATGTTGAAAAGGTCTAAATGAATTAGCTTTTTCCTCTGTATCCTAGACTCCTCTACTAGGGAAGAAGTGATAGAGAGTATGTCCTGGATGAGACCCGAAATCTGTGCCCCTTTAATTAGTCAGTACAAACATGTGGACAGTGGCTTGGTGAATAATTAGCACTAAGTGACTGTGTTCACTAATGAATCCTCTTCCTCCTGCTCATACTCACTGGTCAGTAGTGCCAGGCCCTGTCATCCTGTGGACAGCAGGTGTCTGTCTCCCCTTTAGAGGTGGGGCTCTGGGCTCCAGGCAGCTCTAGGAACCTGCTCAGGGTCCCCCGGTCAGCGGACAGTGCAAGGTTTGAACCTGTATCAGCACAGTCTGACACCAGAGCTGCACAGCATGTCCTCAGGTAGCATTAAAATAGTCCTTTGCTGTCACTTTCTGAAAAAGTAAAAATTTGCATGGAAATATTGTGCTATAATTGTTGTACCACAGTGAATGAGAGAAGATTCTAAAGTTCCAAACCCAGAAATTTCACCCAGGTTGCTTTGCTGTTCACAGATTCCCCAGGACAGCTCGGATGCCATTGTGAGCAAGGCCATCGACTTGTGGCACAAGCACTGTGGGACCCCGGTACATTCGGCCTGAACCCTCTCAGTAGCTGTGGCCGGGGTCCCAGGCCTGCCTTGAGCCTTCTGTTCATGTCACCTGACCTGCCTCACTGATTGCAGTGGTCTTTTTCTGTGGTGCTCAAAGTGGCATGTTTTTTCCAGTAAAATAATTTAATTAAAAGACCTGGTGTTGCTGTGTTGTGGGGCATCTTTCAGTTACACAAGAAATATAGAAATTCACTTGGGAATGGCATTTTTAAGAGTTGTTAGAAAAATGCTTCCAGTTTGTGAAGCCGCACAGACCTGGTGGGTGGGTGCACAAACCAGCAGTGTGGCACTGGGCTGCTCCACCCTGTGTCATTAGCGCGAGCTGGTTCTTTTTTGGTTCCTTTCAAAGGTCTATTTCTGGCATAAAGAACAACTTCCTGTTGTCAACACCCCAGACTTAGCTTTTGTTGCTGCAGAACTTGTGTAAAAGTGCGAGCTTGCTGCCTTCTCAGGCTTCATCTCGCTAAATACAATCCTTACATTTCTTTTTGCTTCTCTTTGTGCCGGTTGGGACAAAGCCTTTGTTGAACAAAATATGTCTAAATTTACCAATGAGGACATAGTACTTGTCTTGATATTTTGCTGGGCTCCTGATCTTTCCTGATGGGTCATGAAGTGTTGGGCTGACCCTTGGGGAGCCCTCTGCAGCACACAGAAGGAGCAGCGGAGGCGGCCCTGGCAGATCAAGGGTAATAGTTAATGACCCTTGGGCCATATTGGGCCACACAATGGTCACGTTCATGGGACAACATGGACCTTGCTGTGCCACTGGTGAGCGGAATGGATCCTTTGTTTCATCTCCCTCAGCTGTCAGCCCTGCCGAGCCTCAGCGGTGACCTCGATTCTGCACCTCACCCCAAATGAAGGGGAGATGGTGAAATTATGGAGTTACAGCTCTGAGAACCCAGTCCCTCCCCACTGTGTAAAACACTGGTTGAGAAAGGGTTCATAGAAAATGGAGTTTAGAAAAAAGCTGGTACTTCTCTCCATGATAGGTCTGAGGATATTTAATTTTAAAAAACAAACCCAAAACTCCACCTGGAAAAAGAAAGCTCTTAAAGCCAAACTGCTACTATAGTTAATACTTTTAAAAATAGACTTGCTGCCAACTGCCTGAAAAACCACAAACCACACACTGAGGAATTGCTGGCCCAGGCCCCTGCACCCAGGGTCTTGGAGGATGTTGAAGTTCAGAGTGAAGGGGTGAACTGGAAGTAGTGGAACTTCTGTTTCAGAGCTGCCTGTTATTTCCACAAACATTAAGATAGAAGCCATGAAAGCACCTGGTCTTAGTGAATTCCACTTCCAGAAGGGAAAAGAATTAGCAGTGTCCTCAAGAGGAGAGTTTGAAGCCTGTGCCTTGGGGAGCTCCTGCCTGGACACTGGGAGGAGACGGACAAAGCACAGATGTGCAGGACCTGACCTTCGGTAAGGGAGGAAGCCAGGGCGGAAGTCCTCTCAATTCACCCGTGCTTGGCCGCGGTCCACATGATCTGAAATGTGCTGCTACTGCTGGCGGAGCTAAAAATAAATACTCTGCAAATATATTTTGTCCCACCCAGTTTGCTGAAATAAAACCTTTCTGGCCACAGTGCATGGGGTGGAGATTTTTATTGTTAAATGAGTCCATTGAGATAGCATCAAGAATTTATTCCACACACACCTGCTATCTCAGCATTTGGGAGGCTGAAGCAGGAAGATGGCCTAGAGTTTGAGGCCAGCCAGGGCTACTTAGCAAGGCCCCGTCTCAACAAAAAACTAAAAATTACTAAAAACCCCAAATTTAAAAGTTTATTAGAAAACTAAACAGCAGAGGATTTTTAAGGCTATCCATGAGGACAGTGAGGAGATGGGGACCCAATTTCATTTCCAACCAGAATTTTACTTTGAGAGCTCAGTCCTCAGTTTCTGCCTGCAGCCCTCAGTGAGGAGCCCAGTTCCTAATAACAACACCCATGTTGCCTTCCTTGAAAACACTTTGTCAGAAAGCTGTGGGATGTTTCCTCCATGTGAAAACCCAGAGTGTTGGTTGCGGCCACAACGACTGGGTTGTGGGTGAAGTGTGGATTCTCCCTCTCCATCGGGAAATGGGAACTTAACATGAGGAATTTCAGTTTCTACTCTTTCCCTTCCAGAGGGGTGACGCAGATGGGGGACTGAGTGCACCTGCCTGGGAGATACGAAGCACCAAGGCCTGTGGAGTATGTGTGTGGAATCGAGTTGCGTATGTATGTGTGTGTGCATACCTCCTGGTGTGTGCATGTGTGGACGGTGTGGGGGTTATGCTGTGTATGCAGGTGAGCATGTGGCCTTGCCTGGACAGACCATAGGCAGACAGCCAGCCGCGAGTGTGGAGGCCAGGGCCTGGGAATGGAGGGCTTTGCTCGTGGAAAGTTCCAGCACCCAGGGTCCACGAGTCACATGTGCTGAGTGGCTCTGCAGCTCCTCACCACACTCAGCTGTGAGACCTGCCTGTCCTGCCTTGAATTGCCCCTGTCCCATGTCACATGGTCATTGCCTCCCCTGCTGTGACCTGAGGCTACCTCCCTGGTTTCTGGCTGAAAGAGCAGAATGTGAAATGAAGGCCATGGGAATTCAGAGAAGGAAAAAAGCCTCTGTGGCTCTGCTGCATCCTGGACTCCGCTCTTGCTCAGGTGCCCAAGCGACAGTGCTGGAGATGCCAGCCCAGGCCACCCTGAGGTCCAGGCCACCAAGGTGTGAACAGAGAAGCATCAGGCCCTGCGCTCCGGCCCTCCATGGACACAGCAGGGCAGTGTTCACCTTGGCTGGGTGTTGTGCATTCTGGGCTTGGAAAGGCAGACACACTTTCCTCTGTCCTTGTCAGTGGGCAGGACTTGGTGGCATTCTCTCTCGTGGCTGCAACGGAGCCGTTTCTCCTTGGGATTCTGCCAAATGAAACTGCCTGTGGCTTTTGGCACAAACCCTGACTGCCTGCCTCAGCTGTTGCTCATCCAGCGTTGGTGGTGCCAGGTGGAACAGGAGGGAGGGACAGGCAGAGAGTGTAGGGCAGGAGCTGGTGCGCTGGAGGGGCAGGGAGGGAGGCAATGGCCTTGCCTGCTTTCCTCACAGGCTCTTCCCTTTCCCTTCTGTCTCTCCTTCATCTCTCTCTTCCTCCTTTGCCTGTCATTGGGATGCCAGTCCGAGTCCCATGAGGGGGCAGACAGGAGGAAGAGAGGCTTCAGAGTCGTCACTTCTCAATGCTGCAAGAATGTGCTTCCCGCTGGAAGGCTGCACACCTGCCGCCTCCTCTTTCCTCTTCCCAGCTGGTTGTTCAACACCTCCTTTCTTGGTTTTCATTCAAAGATGCAATGAATGTGGCTTCACTCCTGACAATGAGCCAGCTCCTGTGCATTTAATTGCTGGGGACTACGTGTAGTAACTGGCCTCTGGGTGCTTCTAAGCATACAGGGAAAACAAATATTAACCACATCTGGGTTCCTTCTTGATGCCTTCAAGAGCATCCCTCATCCCTGAGCTTCCACACAGGGAAAAGGCGAACTGAGCTGGGGAAGGGGGGCTCCCGGAGAAAGTTCCAATGGCCTGGAGATGCACAGTTCTCTGTCCCTTGCCCTTTTTAATAGAAGAGTTGGCAGAAAGTGCCTTGGATTGGGGGACGTTCTGAGCCTCTGTCCACTCTGGTTCTGTGAGCAAAGCTCATCACTCAGTCAGTTTCCTTAGCCCCAAACTGGGACTCTGCTATGTTGCTTTCCCTGAATCACTCAGGGCTACTGCGGGGACGTTTTTACCAGCATGGAGGGCCAGTGTCTGGCTATACGCCGCCGCCTCTAATGGAATCTGTTATATCCTTCAAGGCCCCATCAGCTTCGAAAAGTCCCTTGTAGACTTTGGAGATGGAAGTGCATCTTTCTTCCTTTGAGCTTCTGTCACGCTTCAAATGCCTCTCATTTAGCAATAATGGGAGGCGTTTCGTTTTGATTGTCTTCAGTTGTGTGTGGTTGCATGCTACCACTGAGCTACACCCCCAGACTGAACTTTCTAATCGTATAGTTTTTAAATTGACGCATAGTAATTGTACGTACTAACGGGGTCCAGGGTGGCCTTTTAATACATGTATACAATATGTATTGCTCAGGTTGATGTAATTGATCGATCCATCAGCACCAACATTTCTCTCTTCTTTGAGTTGGAGTCACTTAAAATCCGGTTAGCTGTTTTGAAATTGCTCATGTTTTCAACCATAACCATCCTGCTGTCCTGTAGAAGTTAGAAGTGATCCCTTTACCCAACTCCATGGCTCATGACTATCCTCTCTCCCTGCTTCTTCCCCTCCCTCATCTTGAACTTTCCATGAGGTTTACTTTCCATGCAGTGACACTTTGTGCACTGTGCTCCCAGGACGAGCTTTGTGAAGTGCAGGCTGTGTCTGGTCCCCTTCCCCACACCTTGCTTCACTTTGTGTGGCTGCTAGGGTGGTACCACCCTGACCCTGCCGCTTTGGACACACTGTCATCATTGCCAGGACTATCCTCCCCCAGTGTGGGCTCCGCCCTCCCTTCTCTAAGACGAAGCCAAGTGTCCCCTCCTCCATCTTCAGCTTCCTGCTCTCTGCCCTGGGCCTCTTTCCTTCCATGATGCTGTTGGTGTCCTTTTCACCACATTGAATACATTGGCTTCGATGGATCTATTTATGGCTCACAGTGGCCTATGAGCTCCCTGAGGGTGGAGTTCATGTCTGATTCTTCCTTTCTCTCCACATCTAGCCTGCGCGGGTTCCCCATGAATATCTGTGGAGTATCTGAATGCCTAACTTGGTGTTCAGCTCCTTCAATGACAAGGCATAGAGTTGTCCCAAGGCTACCTTGCTTAAAGGAGATTTTAGTATAGAACAGAGGCAGGGCTAAAAACATGAGAAGGGGTGAGCCAAAAGCTGGGACAGGACTCAAGAGGCCCTGGACCCCCTCATTCTCATTTTTGATCTGCTTAGTGTGTCAGCTTTCTCCTCCCTCTACAGCTTGGAAGACACCAGAATGTTACAAATGCAGCCTCGGACCCCAACTCCTAAGTCTACGGGAATAGACGCGGGTCCAGCTTGGGTCTGGGGCAACCACAAGCCATTCTGTAGCCCAAGGGTGACCTATGGTTGTCAAGAGTACCCTGTGTCTACGG